TTGCAAAGCTGGATGAAATCTAATCTAACCTCATGCAAAGGCAGAAAATCCACATAAGTGTCACTGATAGGGAGCCATCTCCAGATTCCACTTAAAAGCCTCTAATGAAGGAAAATCACAACCAGTGAGACAGCATTAGGAAGCTTACATAGTCAGATAGCTAACACTGTCAGGAATATCTTCCTAAATTTAGTCAAAGTCCCTATTCCTTAATTGCTCCTAACTGATGGTATAAAAAAAATAAATTTCCATTCTTGTTACAGCCTTCATCAAATTTACTAGATTAAGTATCCTGTCATATCTTAATTACTGTTTGTCTAAACTTAAGGTACACATTGTTTCAACCTTTGAAACCTCCTCACAACACTTTCCACAACATTAGATATTTTGTAATTTAATTCCAACAACCATTCATCTGTTCAAAATAGTAACCCTTAACAAACCAGCCTGACCATGAAAAGTTAACTTGACAGATGCTTAAAATAATATCAGGTATCTAGGAACAAGTACCTAAGCTATATATTTTTAAGCCTAGCAGGGAGACAATCAGTAAAATAATCAATCTTCAAACTGAATTATTTAAAACATTGCAAGATTTGAATGGCTTATTACAAATATCCTCATCTTGGAGAGAATCACTATGCTAATATCTTGATTAAAAAGATTCAGCTTTGGGCAAAATAAAAGAATTTCCATACATTTTCATTTCTGGTTCTAAAGCAGGGGTCCCCAGCTACTGGGTACTGGATCAGTATTCAAATGAATATATTCTTTTAAACAGTGATATCTTTTTTCATGCCTCAGTGAACCAGAAAACCAGCTGATAATAAATAATAGAAATATGTCAGATTTGTGCAAGAATTCAAATACTTATTTAGATTATTTTAGAAACAGGCATGGTTCTAGTACTTGTTGCATGTTATGGGGGAGGGAACAGAGGAATATTCTGAAGGTATTTCCACCAAGACAAATTAGTTGTGTGTGTCCAACCACACTTGGCCAATAAAGAATTCTATTCTATTCTATTCTATTCTATTCTATTCTATTCTATTCTATTCTTTTATATCTAATGCTCCAATTAAGCAAGAAAGTGAAAGTTACTAAATAAAAATATTAAAACTGAAAATACTTGGGATCCTATCTATCTATCTATCTATCTATCTATCTATCTATCTATCTATCTATCTATCTATCTATCCATCCATCCATCTATCCATCTATCTATCCATTGTAATTAGCAATGATGAGCCTTGCAATCAAGACAAGGGATGGACATTATTTCAACATACGTTTCTTTAGGACAACACATTTACATCCATGTATCCTTGTGATGTGAAACACAAAAGCTAATCCATATCAATTTTTTTGATATTTGGACCAAATTTTCTGGATTATAATTCTGGATTTATTTATTTTTTTAAAATACATACCTAATAATATAGAAAAATTATTTACAAAATTATTTAGGGAAACTAAATGATAAAACTCTACTGAATCAATAAAAAGAATAAAAGCACTACATTACTATATGGTTCTCATCAATTTTTAATTTTACCAACCTCTGCATCCTGGAATTATGTCTTTAGCATTGATTACTTTTCTTATACATCTGAATGCTTGTGGGAATGACATACTAATATGAACAAAAAATGAAGTTCTTTCCATAAGAAATTTCCATAAGTAAATTTATTGCTTACACAGGCACATTAAGACAGCTGAATCTTACAATTCCAAAAAAAGGGGTAAATGACAGTGACGACATCCATAAAAAAAAGCTAAATTATTTTATTACAAGTGTACTCATCTATTATAATTATGGGAGGCCTATAGTAGGAAAAGTGACATTTTAATGTCCAGACATAATCATGATAATGGGGGGAAATGTCAAAACATACCTCATGACATCATAATGTCAGATAAAAATACATAAGTAGTAGGGTGTACATAAGGTAATAAGTACATAAGGACATCATAGCACATATAATTTCAGTTGTCCCTCAATACCCACAGATACCCATCCTTTAAAGCCTGCTTGCAACAGAATACTTAACGAAGAAAATCTGCAGTGTCGTGTAACATGCTCTGCTCAAACATAGGTATTTTCTTAATGTTATGGGGTCTGGATTACAGAACCTAATAAACCCAAACCTCATTTTAGCTGATCTGGCATGTTGTGCCAACCTACCATTAATATCTAAAAATGTGAGTTAAATGCATGAGAGCCAATTGGTATACCAATTTGCAATTAGTTATTACATCAATCAAGTTTATAAATATCCAGAAGATATATACTTTATAAATGGATCCCACCAACTGTAGAAAATGAAAATAAAGCAAGCTATGAAAGATTGTCAGCAACCTTTCAGGGTGACTGATTCTTTGAACTCTTAAAAAAATAGCCAAAAAGCTTCACTCAGCCCAACTAAATATTTATAAACTTATTTATGTCATTTATTACTTTTTATATTCCGTTCCATACACAAAGTAAGTGATTTCTGAAATATTTATTTTGGAAGTTTGAGAGTGCTGTTAAATTGGGTCTTTGGAAATCCCACAGAATTTCTGTTATTTCAATACAGACTTCCTCCTACCAACAGGCTAACTAATGTAAACAAATATTTTCTGATTATCTTCATCTTTGACTATCACAATGTGTTATACATGGGGCTGCTTTAAATTAACTAGAGAATGAGAGCAACTTAAAATGTTAACATCATTACACTACAGAGCAGTCAGACAGGTAATAAAATTCCTGACTTTTTCAAAGCCTCAATAATAATTTATTTCCAAGTTATTGTTGATTTTGAGTATTTTATATTTGTTGGCCTTCCAATATTATAGAGCTGAGCATCAATGATTCTCCAAATTTTATAGAACAAAAACTCCCATCATTCCTTCTTAATGATCCTGTTTTCCTTATCTCTCCCATAAATCTATTTAATGTTAACAGTTTCTGATATTTTCCCCTAAAGTCTGTGCTTTTTTGAGCTGAAGCAAGTAATCAGAGCTTAAGGGCTCTTTTCAGTAGTAGCACCCCATTTTCTGGCATACCAGGTACCAAGCAGTATTTTTATATGACCACATGACATTTTTTTGTATTTATATTAGTTTTAAAACATTTTACAGTTTTTATTGATATAGGAGATCTTCCTCACTTCCCCTATATACATACATACATGTATATGTAAATATACATATTTGTTTTCGTACATATTTATGTATACACATATATATAATTCTGCATTACTGTTAATTGTTAAGAATATTATAAGTTATTGAAGAATCTCAGCTTAACTGGAAATAAATTGTAAAATAAATACTATATTTACAAATGTTTTTCACCTTCTTATAAATAACAGGTTTTTACATTACTGAAAGTGATTTGGGGGGGGGGGAAAAGCCCTGTAACAATTGTCCTTAGTATGGTTGGCAATAAACCTATTACATTTCCATTTTTGGAAGGGCAGGTCCAATTCTAATAAGATATTTATTCTACAACAGAATTTGACTTAAGAAGAAATTGTGGCATTAAATCTGTTGTTTAAAAATTACAATACACCTCAACAATGTATACAATCATCTGTAATGTATGAATGTCCAAAATGGCAATGTATATAAAATAGAGATGTGTATATTTCACTTAACATTATCCTGTATCATAGCACACCCAACTATAGGCCCTAGCTAAAGCAAACAGATGAAAGAATTTGCTTTTCTCGGTATAACTGGGGATGTCTACTGTCCAGTCCATCAATATAAATGAACCCAGTCATACATGAGGCACAGTTGAAAATCTGCCCCATTGCAGTAAAATTCCAAGTCCAAACATGTGGTTGTAATAGTAGTACTATTTCACTTTAATGAAAACAAGCAAAAGCACATATTTCTCTTCCAGTCTATCTAAGTGCATGTTCATATATTACAAGAATCAGTTCTTTGCAAATTATTCAACCAGTGGAAAAGGAGCAACATGAATTTATTATTAACCACATCATTTTCTGTTACACACAGGGCTGTCCTGTCTCTCAACAAAATCCAGTTAGTCAACACAGTTTATGCTCTCATAAACGAATACTGTCTGCAAGAGCAGAATGAGACAATTCTGGGATACCAAGGTCAAAAAACAGGGATGGAAAATGCCATCATTCTAACCAATAAAACTGGAAACATATTTGTAAACAGTAGCTTTAGAAATTTTAATCATCATTCTTCCATTGAAAAAGCAAGGCCTTAACTATATACTGTATATTACAAAGTCCATGGTCTTCTCAGCTAACTTTTATACAAGTGATCCTTGTCTTGACAATATCAGTAACATGTTCACATGCTACACAATTTCAGGATAGGAAGTATTCTCAAATCTTGAACTTCAATCCTGTTTCTCTTACACAGCAGAAATCCAAACATAACGACTCTCAGGAACAACTAATTATTAAAAGATATTACTTTCACTTTTCATTTTTATCCAGCACACAAAAAGTACTATATGAGCCCAGTTTTTCATTTTTCTTTTTGAAGGATATCGTGCTGTTCCTTAGATTAATAAATTTACTGCAGCATGAGATTTCAAAATAGTACTACTTTAACATGACTCTTTGAGAAGGCAGGGTGCAGCCTGTAATAGCACACACCTTTGTCAGTGCATTAGTATTTAAGATGCAACCTGACTCTTTGTTTATTTGTTTTTGTTTTGCACTATCACAGATTAAACACAACTCCTCTTCTAGTTTAGCAAATAAACAACTTTTAAAATTCCAACAAAAAATACAATGTAATTCTACAATAAGAGCATTTTCAAGAAGACAGAGAGTGATCTTTCTGCAAAGTTCCTACAGCCTTAAAAAATAATTGCTATATCATATACCGATTAATTAAAAGCAAACATCTGGATGATTTTATCATCTGAAACTATCACATGAAACTTAATAATTTGGCTAATATCAATGTTCTAGTTATTGCTTTTGCCTTATGTCTTAAAAAGAATGATAATATTTACTCACTTTCAATGAATCAAAGCAGGCGATTACGCGTCCATTTTCAACTTGGCAGCTTTTCGATGGATGTGCAAATTTACATTCCGTATCTGGTCGTGAGCAAGTCCCTCTTTGGAACTCTCGACATACTTCCAGTGTTAGCCATTTTGTGTCCCGGATTGGTGTGACACTTACAGCCATGTTTAGATTTTACAGGTAGTTAAAATTGTCAATGAAATGAACAAATTAAAAAAGGCCAAACTGATAAGACTGGAAATGATGAAAAATGTCACCTCCAAAGTATTTCCCCAGTTCCCGAGCCCAATGGTAAAAGATGTAAAATTGTGTTGTTGCGACAGCAAGGAAGATATATTCCCTCTAGAAAGTCACAGCATGAAACTGTCAATCAAAAGGGGGAGGGGGAGGTTAAACTTAGAGAAATGCTAGGATCAAAAGTAAGAGGAACATTTAAAAGTGTGCCTTCGAACTAGCCTTGTGCTCTCAATAACCCATTCTGAATGCTGATTTGGAGCCCCAAACGCAAGCAGCAAAAAAAGGTGGCAGACCCTTGGACACAGAATTTTTCAAGCTGCTCTCAGGAAAAGTTGTCTCCACACACAGCTGAATCTGCAATAATTATTCGTTCTTAATTTTTGGTGTGGTGCAATTGGTAATGATTAGTTTGGCACAGACAGATGCAGCAGTTTAGAGCAACAAATCAAGAAACCGGTTTGGATCTCTCTTTTTTTTCCTCCCCTCTCTGATTTTTTTCCCCCTTTTCTTTTCCTGGCAGAAGACTGCTCACTTTTCCAGCAAACTTTTATTTCTGTAAGATTAACTAAAGCAGCCTAGGGCAATGCCTGATGCTTAGAGGGGAGGGGTGGCTGGGCAAGAGGTGAGGGTAGATGTGGTGTCGTCGCAGTCTAGCTGGCAGCAAGCAAGGCAAAAGCAGAGGCTGCTCTAGAAGCGATTCCAAGCAGCAGAGATGTCAGGAAAGGCACTTCTTAGTACCAACCTGTAGAAAAAACAGATAGGTTAAAATTTACCAAGCAGCATTTCACTGATGTCTCACAGCATAATCACATTGCCATGTGCTCCTTCAGTCTACTACTTTACAGCACGATACTCTTTTCCGTTTCCAATAAAATACTTACAGTATAGCATATTGCAGCCAGCCATCACAGATTTATTAAAAAGAGGCCGTTTTCCCCTTCTGAAGCAAGGCATGATAGAGAGATAACCAATCACAGATAGGGTTGCAGCAATAATCTGGGCAGGAAGCCAATAATGTAGGCTGTCTTATGAAAGGTCGCGCCTGTCAGACATTCATTACTATGCTGTAAGCAGAGAAAATGTCCATCGGATGCTACTTATTCGCTTGCAAGAGGATGACCATGTGCTGGCTTTCAATTTACCCAACATGCAGTTAGAGGATTAAACCATGTTAGTTTTTAAATAGCTTCCAACAAGAGCCCAAGTTCTTGTAGCATCCAGAGAGGGGAGGGGGTGGAAAGAAAGATCGAGGTGAGGGACGAGCAAGCTTCGTCCTAGCAGCTCCGTTTTAGATTGCTTTCTCCCTGCTTTGCATCAAGCGAGCTCGGCAGGCACAGAGCACGCCTACTGTATCTGACAGATGAATATAAAAGGAAGAGGGGAGTTCAGAAATGGTACAGTCTCCTGACCTATCCCATTCACTTCCTTTGAAAGCTCAAGTCCTGCCTCTTTCTTCCAGAGAAGCCAACACTTTTTTCGAGTGCTAGAGAACTATTCTCTTCAGTAAGCAGAGGCACTGGCAGCAGCGCTGAGGCAGGTTACCTGAGAACAAATAAAAACACCTTCCCCACCACCCAAGGCAAAAGCCTGGCTTTAGCAAGAGGAGGTGGCCACAGGAAACCTGGCAACGCAGAGACAAGCCTGTATCTGGGACTAAAATAACCTCATACACGAAGCTGGCAAACCACAGGAGGGGATTTCAGATCAACATTTTCAGCAACAGCAGCAAATGCCAGCAAAGCTTCCTAATTCGCAGCAGAACCCATAGCTTTGGTCTTGTTGGCTTAAAATGGCTTCTATTTAGGGAGCAGTTCACTTTGCATTTTTCTAATAGGGCACTGTTTGCCCATCAGGGAGGGGACAAATGAAGTAAAAGTTGATGATCGTTCTTATTATTCAGAATGATCAAGAACTGCAACATTTCTTGCCCCTTGGGGGGAAAGAACAGCCATTGTACATTTTATAAATCCAATTAATTTGAAGGGCATCCAGAACATTTAGATAGTTTTTGTTTGTTTGTTTAGTTAACTGGAGAAGTACTGTTCCTTGTGCATTGTTACAATCACTGGTACCATGCTTACTCCTCAGGATTCATTGTCCCTCTCAATAAATTCTTTACCCATTCTTTAGATCAAAACATCTAAAACTTGAGAAAAGAGTGATCTAGGGCAGCCCGATGCACGAAAATGCCTTTCTAATCCTCTATCCAAAATTCTTAAGGTTTTTTTTTTTTTCTGGCCCTCAACATTTCTTTTAAAAAGATGGGCAAATGCACAACTGTGTTAAACACTGTCATCTGTCTCTCTTACAACAATCAATGGAGAACTAACAGTATTGGCCCTGCTCTTTTCTTTCTGCTGCATTTTTAAAGTCACTTTAACATCACTAAATGAACTGTTGTAAATTGAGGACTACCTGTACTTAAATTATACCTTTTTGGATTAACCATGTTCATTCCCTGATAAATGAGCATCAGACTGACTCTTCAAAGGAGAAATCCAAAGCATAAACATATGAAAAGGCTGTTGATTCTAAAACATTTTCACATCTATCCCTTGTTGTACCAAGAGACATGGAGAATGCCATTGTATCTTTTTTTGCTTTTATAGTATCAATTTAGCCACAAAGGAGAGAGAAATACAATGGAACCTGTCTTGTTATATCAGTTGAATTTGGTCTACCAAAAAAGTGAGCTTTTTCCAAATTATATGAATTCAAAATGTGCTTCAATCATTAAGGTCCTCTGGCAATATTTATTTCATTTTTTTATAAAAAAAAACACCTTGTATTATTTTTCTAAATAATTCAAGGAGGCAAGCATATCTAATACTCATTCCTCTTCCTATTTTTCCACAACAACAACCCTATGAGCTGAGTTTGGCGGAAAGAGAGTGACTGGCCCAAAGTCACACAGCCAGTTTTCATGCCTAAGGACACAATCTCCTGGTTTCTTGTGTAGTGTCTATTCAATTAAAATGTTCTTTAGAAGAGTTAAGTTCTTTTTCAGACCAGGACTAGAACACTTCCGAGGCTCTTCCAGCTGTATTCTGATTCTGAAGTTACAATATGTAAGCTATAGCAAACTGATGAGATACAAGTTAACAGGATGACAATTTCTGACTATTCATTAGAAAGTCTGCTGCTGTTAAAATCATTTTATCCTCCAGGTAACACTGATCTGGATGTTACAGGACTGTCTACTGACTTTTCCAGAAATTAATCCTCCAACTGGAAATTGTTTATGGTTTTCCAGGGAAAGTTTGCCTCTAAAATCAATTTGATCTGGAACATGGTGTATAGCAATGACCAGAATTATGTGGTCCAGATGTTCCATTCCCGTGTTTTAGAAAACAACAGATTTTATACATCCTCACCATAAAATGTGTAATGTGTCACTTGCCAAAAAAAATTAGAAACAGAGAGGATTTTGTTGAAAAATACACCTATATTTTAATACTGCTATAATGCCACCTTAGATACTATCAATCAATTATTGACCTTCCTAACATTTCATTTGCACTCTAAACAATAAAATGTATTAATATAAAAATTATTTGAACAAAATAGGTGGAATTTACCCATGTTAAACTTTAATAAACATAAGACTACAACACAAATGTTCTAAAATAAGTATCTTATCTACTCCAGTATACAGCTTCTAAAACAAAACTGAGCATCCAAATTCCTGCACACTGCCCACAACGTAATAACTATCCTGGCTTTCCACTTGTCTCTGACCTGACACAGAGACACAGACAGAGACACAGAGAGAGAGAGACAGAGAGACAGAGACAGAGACAGACAGACAGACACACAGAGAGACACACAGAGAGACACACAGAGAGAGAAATTTAATGTGTGTGTGTATTTAAATTGCTCAACTGGAACATCTCCCTATATGAAATCAAGAAACAATATAGTTTAACTTTGTAATTCTGAACACAGCAAGAATCAAAATAGCTATGATTTTTATAATCACAATAAAGGTCCTGTACAACCCATTCCCCTCTACTAATTTTTGCCTGTCATTTTCAGTTTTTTATCTCTAAGATTTATTTATGGTCCGAGTAGACAATGCTTTCTGGATTTGAGCGAACTTTAGCCATTTGGCAACAAATCCATGCAGTTGTTTCATTTGTTTATTTTCATTTGCCAATCTGAGCTGAAAAACAGCAATGAGCACTAGCTGCACAACTGTATTTTCATTGTTACCCTTGTGATTCCCTACCCCCATTCCAAATTTGCCTGGACAAAGTCTGAAAACTCTTGAGTTTTACAAATATTTAACTGTCATTACTCAGAAATAAGTTCAAGGTTCTATCTATAATCAGGCTGTCCACCTAAAGAGGTGACTCTTTAGTGATATACACCATGTTGTAGTCTAAGAATATATAAATTTAAGAGATCTGAGAGGATAACAGCATGCTCATTCCCAATTTTGTCTACATCTGCATAAAACAATTATTAAGTGCTACAATGTTTGGATTATGCCTCTCACTTAAATGGCACTACTATTGTTACAAGTAATAAGAGATTAACAATATTATTATTATTTATAATTAATAAATACTAACTTGAGAGAGGGTAAGAAGTACAGCAGATATCAAAAGAGAATCTTTAGAAAAAGGCATGAAATTATACTACAAATATTTCTCAAAGCAAATTTTATAAAGTCATGGTGACTTTTTTATTGATGAATATTCATTACTATTGGAAATGAAGACTGAAAGTATCAAAAACAACACTACATTGTTTTATTAAATATTTGGTCCTTTTCAGTGTCCTATTTCACAATATAAGATCTAATCAATAGTACACAATCATAATTTCCTCCCAGTTTTATCTAATAATGTAACTGAAGATCTTCTTGAATCATAACGATGATGAACCAATTAACTGTCTTGACTATTAATTTGTACAACAATTGTAATGGTCTCTTGTCTATGACTGTTGATCTGATCTTTCTATCAAGAAGAGTAAATTATTTTTGTGCTCAATAAAACACTAACAAATGTAAACATCTATATAACTCTGAATCAATGAATTTGGAACCAATTTACAATAAAAGAGCCCTCATTTATCCTACTTATCTATAAGCATTTATATTTATATTTTAATAGCCCAGCTGACTTTTCTGAAGGTTTCTTTTAAGTTTTAAAAAAATCAGAAGTTACCAAGCTACAAACAGAATATCAGTTCCTACTAATTACTTTATTAGAGGCAATAACTTTAGGCAACACAAAGATTCTACAGTGAAACTACAAAGCATTCTGGAGAACTTATGCACTTTTACGGATATTTTATAACTGTCCCAGTGAGACATCCATTTAATAAACAGGACAGTTCTCTCATGCTATCAAAACCCCAAATGAGTTCTAGCTCAAAATGACTACCTACCCCGATTTACATATTATTAAGGATAGGTTAGAAATCCTTGTCATGAGCCTGTAATATTAAAACTCCATTACAGAATGTCACAGGATGTAATATAAACTGTACAGGCTCAGCTGGCAAAAAAATAAATATAAAAGCAATATGTCACAAACCTTCAAAGCACTAAATGTAAAGGTTGTGGGCTAAGTGTTACAATTGGACTGCAAAGTGGGAATGGTTCAATCCTTTAGATAAAGAACATTTAGTATTTACAGGGCAATCTTCTAAGCTCTTCTTGGTTTGTTTAACTATATATGATGAATGATGTTATATAGTCAAATTGATCTAAGGTACCATTCTGCTCATTCT